ACCATAATATAACTATTTTTTTAAAATCAAACGAATGTGGCATAATTCTTTAAATTCGCGCAAAAATTATTTATTTTATTGATTTTTGATGACATATTCCTATTCCTCTCATTTTGCTATATCAAATAAAAAAAATCGTCTAGATAAGAGCTACCGTTCCCGAGAAAAGTCATCTTTTATCGCGCATACGCATTTTGAAACACATACGGCGCGCGGCAGCGCAGCTGCTCTCAGTCATCCCGACTCCCGCTCTGTCGAGAGATTCCAGTGACCACGGTACCTTTCTTGATTTTTCTTTCATTAAGCCTTTATCTGCCGAAAATTCACTAAACGGATATTGAAAGTACTTGTAGTTAGCTAAAAGAACATATATTTTTTTCTCGATTTCACGATTACGTAAGCTATAATTAACTTTACACTTCTATATCTCAGACTCAGAATGTACACAGTAGAATGCTGCCGTATTTGGCTAAAAAGCAAAGGGTTACGACGTAGTTTTTATGTGTGCAAGATTTTGTCGATCGCATAGAAAATTCCCTGAGCAATAAATAATTGTTTATAGAGCAAAATTTTAAATGGTTATTAATTTGTAAAAATAGGTATTTTTGGTATTGATCATTGTTTATTATACAACAACAAGCATCTCTAAAAAATTGTGTGCTCTTTCTAAACCTTAATTTAAATCCACGGCACTTTTTGAAATTTTCTTAATTAACAATCCTGTAAATCGAAAACCACACGACCTATCGTTGTAAAATTTTTAGGGTAGAATTGACAAATGTTTTACTATTTGTTCACAAATTTTCATCAATATTTATAAGTATTTACTTATTTTAAAAATTGCTCCAAATATACATATGATTTTCTACTATTTTTCGCCCATTGTTAATTCAAAATTCGCAGTTGTTGTAACTTTACAGAAAATCGTCCAATAAACAAAAAATAAAGAATTACTTTTTTTATTTAGGGCTTACTTTCAATGTTACAGGGAAAAATGTGTCGAAAAACGGTTTATTTTTCGTTCTTTTTGTATGTTTGTTGTTCCCCTGAATTTAGCGATGGTTTTTTGAAATAATCAAACTCGTTCCCATAATATTTGGAACACAAACGCCAAAGCCTACTTTTATTCCTCTATCGCCTGGACTACAATGTGATATGCATTTTTTAAGTAATTAATGTTAATTACTAGCTTTTTTATGGAGATAAATTTCTAGTATATCAATATCATAAACGGAATATTTATGTTTATTTTTATATACTTTATTTGATGCGAACTTAGTATAACTTTTTTTCAATTTAACTTATATTTCAAGTATAGTAAAAATATAATTCGTAGGATTTCTTCTTTAATGATTCTGAAGATTATTTCTAGCTTTTAATAATGCTACCTAATAATGCCTTGAATTGTATGAATCCAGTAAGTTTTCACTCTGATGAAATAGGTGGAAACAAATGAGCAACGCACTTTTATCTTGATAGCACCTAGAAATGTTGTAAAAATATCAAAAAGTATTTATTTAATAGTATTTACAATTGCGTCAGCAAAAGCTTTGGGGAAGGATATTTTAATAAATATTGCTGTAAAATTCCATTTGCAATATTTAATTGAATTGTTTTACAGATATAGTAATATACAGTGTGTCCCCGGGTACCGCACTCTTGTAAACTCTGTTGAATTTTCGAGAAAAAAGATTATTCTTGATAAAATGTTTTGCTTATCTTGAGAAGCCACGGGCAATAATCAAATATGTAATGGGCATCCAAAATATTTCAAAATGTGATATTTTTCCTCAGTAAAGTTCCTTTAATTTTTGTTTCCTTTAAGAACTGTATGTAACAAAGTTTTCGAGAACTCAAGATATGACTAAATACTGGGTTTGGTAAAAAAGAAGAAAAATCACATTTTCCAAATAAAAAGACGCGATTTTTAACTATCTTACTTAAAGCAGACAGAACTTGTAAAACATAATTAAACTTTAATAGTAATACGCATTTTCTAATCTTATTCCTTACACGGACGAAATCATTTCTTCGTTTATGATGGCTACAGCTTCATGTATTTTTTGCTTAAGTAAATCAATGTTATCGTCAAAATCGTTTGAATACACTTTTTGCTTTAGGTATCCCCATAAGAAATAATCTAACGGGGACAAGTCGGGTGCCTGTGCAGGCCAAGATATTGGTCCATAGGGTCTGATCCACTTGTTCGGGAGGTGAACATCAAGCCAGTTTCTCACTAGAAGTGTGGAATGTGCAGGACATCCGTCTTGCTGAACTCTAAACTTCCACTATCTAGTTCTGCCAAAACAAAATTATTGAGAATTTCCAAACACGAATTTTGATAAGATTTTCTTCCAAAGAGTAAAAACCAATTATTTTATGATACATTATGCCACACCAAACATTTAGGTACTTTTTTAAAATGTTTGGCTATCAGTTATCAATCGAAAATTTAGATTATCTTTAACCCAGTATCTACAATTTTGAGAGGAAACCACTCCATTAGTTGAATATTGATTCGTCATTAAATAAAATATTGCGATGAAAGAATGTTTTTTCAATCAGTTTCTCGTCCATTGTTAAACAAAAATATATGGTTAAACACTGGTTTGAATGGATAGATTTTGTTGTATACTAAAATTGTTTAAATATGAGATCTGCTAATATCTATGTTTTCTGACCTTTTCTTGAGTGACATCTTTGGATTGTCTTGTACAGAGTCCATAACTACAACAGTAGCAGCATCGTTATCACTGTATTTTTTATCTTTTTAATATTCTTTGCATCACCAGTGGTATCGAATTTTATAATTAGCTTGCGAATTGCTCTAATGCACCGTTTAGAATTTAAGCCAAGTTCAACTGAACTTGGTTTAATTTTAAAACTAGGTTTTAATAATCAGCTTTTGCACCACTTCCTGCCGATGGTAGATTAAATAAAATTGGGCTTTAAGAATACTGTTTAGGGATTTTCTTATGCTGCTAACTTATGTCCAGTTATGTTCGGAAAAAAAATATGCCAAAGCATTGTTTTTAGAAGACAAGTTAAACAACTTTGGTTAGTGCTCTTCAATGAAATCCAGATGGCAGTGCTAGGAAAGTGTGTTTATTCATAAATATCTATGTGCTTTTACGTTAGAGCATTGTTTTTAGAAGAAAACAATGATTATACAATGTTCTACCGTAAAACCAGATAGATATTTACATTTATTTATGAATAAACACACTTTATTAGCACTGCCATCTGGATTTCACTGAAGAGAACTAACCAAGGTTGCTTAACTTATCTTCTAAAAACTCATGGTCCAAGTCAAATTCTCAAACCAAAATTTTAATATGAGTACTATTAATGGCATCTAACACCGTAGAAAATGATGCAATTTTATAGAACTCATGTTGCACACTATTTTTTCTGGGTTTGGCATTTTTATATATCTCTGATAAAGCCGAGCTATTGCAATTGATACTCGTACAATTATTTTGGACACTGTTGATATGTCCATCCTTGAAAAGTCTGCAATGGTAGACAAATGACCAGCACAAGCATAGAACCGAAGAGCAGTCAGCAATTGTTGGATAGGAGATACACTATTATTCCTAGAAATACAAAATCATATTAAGAACAAAAGCTTTTTATAACTCCAAAATTCTGATTGTCAATTGCATCGTGTTCATGCCGACATGTTCGTAAAACTTACATGTCACTTGGATAGTCCAACGCCTCTTCAATTAAAGTTAGCAGATGTAATGTGGTCTATTTTGTCAACCTAAATCTGCGGAAAAAAGTCATATTGTCTAGATTATGAAATAGATCATTTCTGATTGTCTGGGAAATCCAAAGTCTATAATTTCGTGAATATCAAAATCATCCCATACATCAAAGTCAGAATCTGAATCAATTTCAAAGTGCTCAATGATGTCTTAACACCACTCACTCCACAGGAAAAAGGAAGAAATATCTATTTAAAAAAATTATAACCAGCAGCTAATTACTATCAATAGTGTCAATTCATGTTTTCTCATTAATCCAAGTTTCAGCGGTCAAATTTGAGGGTTTAAATTAATCCTAGATTAATGCATAGATTTGAAACGGTGCAAACAAAATGTTATATTTTAATCCAAATTCAGACTTAATCCTGGATCGCGGCGTCCTTTTATTTGCGAAATGTGATTATTGTGCAATCTTTAGTTCTCTACCAACTTTAACAAAAATTAGAGGCACTTTGCTTAGGGCAAATGTTACATTTTCAAATTTTTTGTATGCCCTACAAGTTTTTTACATGTTTGATTACTGCCCGTGGCTTGCCAAGATAAGCAAAACTTTTTATCAGGAATACTTAACTTTTTCTCGAAAAATCAACAATAAAACAAATTACAAGAACGCGGTACCTCGTCTTGGGACACACTGTATTGTTCCGATTTTGTCTATTCATTCATATGAACTTTGTTCCATTTTTTTCTTTGTTAAAATGTTCCAAGTGCTTCAAGAACCAATAAAATGACGTAAAACGCGATTAATACAAAATATATTGCAGCGCAAATTTTATTTCTCGTGGAACATCAATAATTACTTCATAGTTTTAATAAGCGAGCATAAATCTAAACCGAACGTCCCGTTTGGCACCGATACACATACAAATCCAGAAAGAGTTCATAAATATCGTAAATAACACATACATATGATTAATTAGTTTCGGACACCTCGTAGATATCGGCGTAATATATTTATAAGTAATAAATAAGGCTTCTAAATACTAGAGGCCGATCCCTGAGTATTTTTATTCAACCAGTCGCCCCATTCAAAGGATGCGAAGCGGTCGCAATACTAACTCCTAATTTTTTACACGGACAAACGCTTTGTACGAGATTGTACCCTATTCACCAAATCAACCAATCTAAATTCTCCAATTTACTGAAATTTTTTACGCCGTGGTGGGGGAACGCTACGAGAGGGAGTCACGTAAAATTCGTATACTGTTCTGCCTCAGTCGATCTCACGACTTCATAGAGCGCTCGGCGAGAGCGTACCAACCCTATTTTTCAACCCCCATTTGGTTTATTTACAACTTTTTTTTGCTTTACTGACTCCTGGGAAGTGTGCGCGGGTCCCTCACCGTCGCCGCAGCCTTGAGGAAGACAATTGACTATCTGTTCCACCGGAGTGCGCTTGATTTCGAGTTTTCTTTTTTTGAAGCAGTGGCGTTCCGTTTTCGCTTTATTTGACGTTTTAGTGTGAATGTGCCCGAAGATTTCAGACTGCCTTTTTGTTCGCTCGTTGGAGGTTTGTGCGTGGTGTCGAGGTAACTCTTTCGCGCAAGTCGAGATGACGTGAAAAGTCTTGTCGGATTTCGAAAAGGTAATGAGAGACGCAACCCTACTAGTCGTAAAAATAAGACCATTACTTTACTGTTTTTATATTAATTTTGCCCATGAAAGTGTCAAAAAGCACTCTTATTGTTATATCTTTTATTTTCACTATTTATTTTCACTATCATGTGCTGGTTGTTTTTTGTTCGTCTAAAATACTATGAATTTAACGAAAAATCGTGCGAGAAAAACCATCTGTGGATCTGTGTTGCAGAATTTGCGGTAAAGTTTCTGAATCTATGCGAAGTTGGCGTAAATTAACGAAGAAAATATCAAAAAAACACTCAGTTACTTTTGAACATAAACTGGAGCATCCGCAGAAGTCTCCTCTTCTTCTTCTTCAAATATGAAAATAATAACGAACGTGTAATGCAAATTTCAAGTGAAATGGAAGAAATAAATGCTCCGCTTCCCATGAAACTGGTTACTGTAATTACTTTATTCGTCTTTCTCTCATTAACGGACTGATTTTGCTTTATTGCGAACATTTTTTTTAATGCGTGCTATATTGTACTAAAATAAAATGATTTTTATGATAAATACAATAAAAACGGACTGCCAACTGTCAATGAATCTGTTTCACATACTTTGCGATAAAGTTTTTGATTCTACATACAGTTAGGGATCTATTAAACGAATAACGCATTCATTTCCGATAACAAAACTGGAACATTCGCTGGAACCTCTTCTTCTTCTTCTAATGCCTGTAGAATAACGAACATCTATTTCAGATCGTGTGGTTCGGATATTAAACTATGCCCTGAAGCATTAAGTCACTTCGAGAGCTTTATTTTGTAAAAAAACTAGAAGTTTCTAGTAAAATCGGAGAAGGAAAATACTGTTGATTATAGAACTCGTCATTGTAGTCACTTTAATGTTCTTCAAAGTTTATTCTGCTAAAAATTGCTATGTATAGGTATTATACTACAACATTTTATTGAAATTTCCCAATATTTCCCAATGATACATGTGTATAGAATGCAATAACAAATTTCTAACGTAAGTAGATCCAATTTGGCAAAACTAGTTCGGTTCATATAAAGTTGTGATTAATTATTAAGTTACGTGTATAATTAGGTTGAAAATTGTTTTTCTAGGTAAAAACCAATTATAAAAACATGCGCGATCATCAAGTCGGTGATATTTTTCCTTTATTATTTAAACAATTGCGAAATATCTTTTTAAACAATTAAATTTTTCGCATACGTCGCCGGTTGCTCGACGAATTGATGAAACAACAATTTTGTGAAAGTCCTTTCAATTGTTCTAAAACACACAATCAGCATACTTGATTATCAAAACCGAATTAAATCACATACTTGGATAAACGTGCGAAGAGCATAAATTAAACGCTGTTTGTCGATGAAATAAAGGAAATTAGCACTAATATATCCTGTAACAGTTAATCGGTAATGCAAATTCGGTAGTTATGTTCTAAAATTGGGCTAATAGGAAGTGGAAGTAGCACACGCTAGTAAAACGAGAAGCCATGGTCCCGCCCGGTCCTGAATCCAACAGATTTCGTGTTTCTCCGCGCAGTTGCTGCTTTCTCGGTGCAGCCGATGCCCGTCATGTTTTTCATATATCTATTAAGTGCTAATAAATGCGTTTGAATAGAAAAATGTACATTCTTGAGCTGGTATTGTACACCAAGGCGAAATGTATATATGTAAATAGTAATTGTTTCCTTGCCTACACAGAAAATTTAAATAAAATGAAAATGTATTGCAGGGATCGGCCACTATTATGAAATAAATAATTGTTTTACTAAATTACAGTGTAGATTACTTTTAACGATCGTACCTTTTCGTGAATGCAATAATTACCAATCCGAAGTATAACGTTTGTTCTATCTGTGCTTACATTCTCGTTTAGCGGGTAATGGTTGTGCAAATAGGTCGGAATTTGGTTATTTTTACGAAACGGCGCGCTAATCAAATATTTGCTTCTGAATTTTAAGTGAAAACAACATTTTAATTCGCCGCTATCCTCAAATAAAGAAGCCCTAAAAGCGCCGCTCTTATCGTCGCGTCGTAAATCCCAAAATGTGATCCTAATCTATGAAATTAAGCAATAAAATTTAAATTAATTTTTAATTCTTGCTCAAACTTAGTTACTCAAACATAATAGAATAAAGCTAAGTAAATAGAACGGCTTCAAACATTTCCACCGGATTTTCGGAACATCAGTGAAATTTTGAACCCGTAAACGTTTGCAACTCTTTTATTGTTTCGACAGTTCTAGTTTAGAGCTATTCTTTATGCCCCTGCCCAAACATAGTTCAAATTTTCCCACTGTACAATTTCATTAAACTCATAAATACATAATTAAAACTTTTTCGCGGTATTTCTGCACCTCAGTGAAATTTTGAAACGGTAACTTTGTAGCTTTTTTATTGTGTCGATAAATACTGATTTACAGTTATTCTTTGCGACCTAGCTCAAGAATAATTACACAAACGCAAGACAATATTACTTTTTCAAGCTTTCCTGCCATTTTAGGGAGCCTCAAAGAGCTTTCATAGCTTTTTTATTAATTCGGAATTCAAATGGATACTAATTTAGAGCAACTATTGCTCATTAAACCCAATACATAACTAATACTCCGCAATATTTTGGAAACCTTAGTGAAATCTTGAAGCTCTAAACTTTTACAACATTTTTAGATACTAATTTAAAGCTATTGTTTGTGCAGACAGTCAGAAATAATTTCATAAAAACCAGTAAATAAAACGGCTTCAAACTTTCATACCATTATTTAGGGAATCTAAGGGACCCTTTGCAGCTCTTTTATTACTTCGAAAGAATACTAATTTAGAGCTATTTTACGTATAGATCTTAAAATAGTTTCAGACAAATTTTCAAAACTTCAGCGAAATTTTAAATTCTTAATTTAGAACTATTTTTTGCGCCTCAAGGAGCTTTATATATTACCTCGAAATTCCAATTTAAAATAATATCAATAAACTCAGTACAAAATTAAAATTTTCCGCGGTATTTCTAACCCTCAGTGAAATTCTGAAACGGTAAACTTTGCAGCTTTTTTATTGTGCCGATAATTAAGAATAAATACTAATTTAGAGCTATTCTTTGCAACCCAGCTCAAAAATAATTACATAAAAGCAGGAAAATAAAACTTCTTCAACCTTTCCTTCCATTTTTAGGAACCTAAACTTCTTTTCTAAAGTTTTATAACATATTTAGGTACTAATTTAAAGCTATTCTTGGTGCACAGAGTCAGAAATAATGTTATAAAAACTAGTAAATAAAACGGCTTTAAACTTTCATACCATATTTAGGGATCTAAGGGATCTTTTGCAGCTTTTTTATTACTTCGAAAGAATACTAATTTAGAGCTATTTTACGTACAGATCTTAAAATAGTTTCAGAAAAATGTTCAAATACCTGTCTGTTATTTTAGAGCTATTTCCTGCATTTAGGAGCTATTCTGTCTTTCAAAACCTCGAAGAAATGTGTTTACTTTGACAAATCCTAATCGATGATGCCGATTTAAAGCTATTCCAATTTCCGCTTCTGTATAAATATCCCACATCTGCATACGAGCGCCGATAACTCTCCAGTTGATATTGCCAACTTGTAAGGTTATCTATATATATTCAGGAAGGGTAGCATGGAAACGGGAATCATTTCTATATTATTGGTCGGCATTTTGTGAATAAGTGCTGTATATTCTCTGTCCGTAGCTGCCCGTCATATGAAACACAGACATCAAAAGGCAGAAGGTGTGTCGATTTGCATATTTTTATTATGTGTTTCGTATAGATCGTTGAGATCAGAGCGCATTTTTATATTTCTTGCGGTATTACCTTCGTGTTACACCCCACTGCACATTTTGGACTGTTTTGCTAAAGGTCAATCAAATTACCTCACTACTAATAAGCTTAGAATGTTAAAAATGCAATGCAATATCAAATTTAATTTATGAACCTACTGCTGTTAAAGATTACGCATTGTCCGTAGCGTAACAAAACTATACTTTGTTTCAAAATAAGTTTTCTCTACTTCTTTAACTTTCGCGACATTTTGGAAATTACATTAAATGAATGGGAATTATTGAGAATCTAAATCACCAAAGTATTCGATAATTACTTTGAAAAATATGTAAGTACATCATTATTATTATTTTTAGTCCATTTTACGAACTAGATATCCCTCACAACATTCATTTCTAAAAGAATTTGTTGAAAAAATAATTTTACGTTATATTTACTGTATTGTATCACGTAATTTGTTATAAAACTATAATTGTACATTACGCACTCTTATTACGCATAACAACTTGTGCAAGTTAGTGAAATCAAATTCTGTTTCTTTACCATATTTTTGTTGTTAATATCACTAATTTATAATTAGATAGTATAAATTATAATTTGGTATTAGTATCACAGAATAAGCAGCTTCAGAATGTACAATATTAGTTGCAAGAACATTATGCGTAATGTACTTTTCAACATTTCTGCGTATTATCCTTAAATTAACTGATTTAGTAAGACAACTTTTTTGTCGGGGTCAAAGCTATTTATGTTACATACAAAATCTTTTAGTTAGGATAATAAATAATTGTATCTAATTACTTATTTTTCATTAATATTGAAATAATTATCGAGTTTAATCCTTTTATTTATTCTTAATGACATTTATGCACTTTAAACAACGAACATTCAATTATTTTCCAACGACTACTTGATTCTTCCACTGCTAATGAAATTTTTAGGTGGTATTTCTTCTGAGACTCTTTAGGCCGATATTGCTTATTACTTTTAAACGGGAAATAATACCTACAAACAAATGTCTAATAAAAGTTTGTTATTTATTTAAATTTTTTGTATCCTCACAGTAGTTCCATACTATCGAGTTTGAGACACATTGTACATTACGCACTATTATGTACTTACGCACCGAAAATTTACAAGTTAGTGGATTAAAATGCCGTTTTTTGTATGTGACATATTAGAATAAGTAAATTATA